GAAAATACTAATTTGAAAAGATATATGCGCACATATGTTTATTGCAGCATTATTTACAATTGCCAAGATATGGAAGCAGCCCAAGTGTCCATCTATATAAGAATGGATAAGATGTGGTGTGTACATGCACACACACACACACACACACACCCAAACGTATTACACAGCCTTAAAAAAAGGATGAGGGCGCTTGGGTGACTCAGTCGGTTGAACATCTGCCTTCCCCTAAGGTCATGATCCCGGGGTCCTAGATCAAGTCCCGCATCGGGCTCTCTGCTCTGCAGGGAGTCTGCTTCTCCCTCTGCCCTTCCTCCCACTAGTTCTCTCAATCTCTCTTTCATAAAAAAATAAAATCTTTAAATAGAAATAAATTTTTAAAGAATTTTTAAAAAAAGGATGAGATGGTGTCATTTGTGACAACACGGATGGACCTAGAGGATATTATGCTAAGTGAAATAAGTCAGAACTGAGAAAGATAAACACCATACAATTCACTCGTATGTGGAATCTGAAAACCAAATAAACAAAACAAGAAGCAGAATCCAACCTATAACTAGAGAACAAATTGATGGTGGCCAGAGGGGAGGTGGTGGGGTGATGCGCAAAATGCATGAAGGGGAGAGAGATTATCTCTCTGGAATGAGTAAATCATGGGCATGAAAGGTACAGCACAGGGAATATAGTCAATGATACTGTAATAGTGTTGCGTGGTGACAGAGGATAGCTACACTTGTGATGAGCACAGTGTGACACAGAGAAGTTGAATCACTAAGTTGTACACCTGAAACCAAAGTAACAGTTTGTCAACTATACTCAAAAATTTTTTTAATTGAATAGTAAGGTGATTTCTTAGAAGAAACTAGCAATTCTGATAAATCCTATCAATTTCCTTCCCTACCATTAAATTTTAAGGAATTAGTGTCTTCTTGCCATTTATGGGTACATATGTCGAAGGAAATTTCTTCGTTGTTTCTTTCAAGTTCATTCCCCTAGATTTTTCCCAAGGGACTGTAATATATAGGTCCCTCTAGCCATGAAAAGTTATTTCATAAAATACAGAATGTTCTCCCTCTCAGAGGTCATCCAACTATAAGTCAGGATGTGAATGACGTACGTTCAGCCGAGACACCGAGCCTTGCAAAGTCTCTGTCTCAGTCCCAAGAAGAACATGGGACCCTTTGCATGAGGGACAAGTGACCCTTTGGTGCTTTTAGGAATTTGTACTTCATGTTCTCTCTCACAGACCATCCTATTTTCTATTTATTGCCTTTCTTCCTCGGACCTTGAAGACCTCAGTCCACTTGATTGAGTTTCCATGGTGCCACTTTTTCTTTTTCTCCAATCCATTATTTTTTCCATGAAGAGATTCAAGACAACAAGTCTGTAATTAGAAATTCCTACAGAAGTCACCTACACACATTGAAAAGTTTGGACATTTTTTTTCCCCTTCCAGCACCTGAATATACTATCTACTCCTATTTCAGCTATCAAGAAACTTATTAAAATATAAAATTGATATAAAGACAGATTTAGAAATCATATTTAGTGATCTCATTTTTATTGTAGTGCCTTTTGGAACTGACATCATTGAAAAAAAGACTGCTTTTTCCAGTCTCCAGGCTTCTATGGATATGCAAAAGAAAAGAATAATTTCCAACCGCTAATAAGTAGTTGCTAGAGTTCCAAAAGCCTGGGAACAAGAAAGTTGATGTAATAATGGAAGCTCAATTTTGTCAACTACAGTGATGTCTTTGGTTTCAAGCTGTAGCAAGTCCACTTTGAATGGAAAGGTCTGTTAATAGCTCCTTACTAGAAGTTTGGTTTTAATAAGACCACCAGAAGCTAAATAGAGCCCACACATGAGAAATCTATTTTCAAACACTTTGAATAAAACTCCGTTTTATAAAGAAAATGCCTAAAGGCACAACTCCTTTTCATTTTCCAGCTCTTTTTCATAGCATACTGTTGTGTGGCTAACTTACTTCGTTGAAACTGTGCGTTATATTGCAGGACTTGCATTTCCCATCTGCTCTCCATTCCCATCCACATCTTAGTACCTTATGGTAGCAATAGTGTCCATTCGTATTATCAGTAAACATGTCCTAAGACTTGATTTCATTTAAGGAATCCAGGAGTCACTTCCCATTTCAAATGAAACTTTATCTTTATGCTTTCAGGCTTTGGAATATGCCAAGACCATCCCCAAACCCAAACCTTCAAATCTGACTGGCCAAGTATCAAAGGAAAAGAAAAATCCCACCTATACTCGAAAAGATGCTCTGCCTGAAATCTCACTGCTGGAAATACTGCAGAGCAGACACGAAAGGGAAAAACAGGCTGTGGCTGCTTTCAAAGTCCTTCACATTGTGTAGACAGCACATTTGTCAGAGACCAAAAATGCCCGGGGACTGGACATGGAGAAAAAACTCCAACCAACCTGTCTGCAGAGAGGGATGACCCTCTGTCCTCTAGCCACAGCCCATGTTTGCTTTGATAGGATTTACAATATGGGGCCTTATTACATTATGGAGCTGTTTTTACTTTCTAGGAAGATTTTTTTATTATTTATTTTCAAATCAGAATTTGGGGTTGAATAAAAACTAGGGAATAAAGCCTTTTAGTTTCATAGTGGATCTTTCAATTTCTTAAAAAATCTCTACCCTTCTTTGCATAATGAAAACCTTGAAGTGACCCAGCAAAAAAAAAAAAAAAAGTATCTAACTTCTGCTTCTCTCTTACCCTCCTGATAAGAAAAAAGTATAAACACTTCAGTTTCAAATAAAATGAATGTAAATTGGACTAACTGCCAGTACATTTGGAGATGCTGTTTCCCAAATAGTTCTAAAGTCTCTAAATTTAAAAAATAAATAAAATAAAATACCCCAATGTTCTCCTAACAGAGCATCGAGACATAAATTAGAAATCCAACAAGTCCAGAAACACCCATTCAGGCAACTCTGAGCAATAAACTTTCTCAAAGCTACTTGCTCCAAGTGTGTGAATATGCCAGGCATCTTGCCATCACAAACATTTTAAAATGTTACCATATTGTGCTTTTACACACACACACACACACACACACACACACACACACACGTTAGGTAAGAGGAGAAAGCATTCCGTATTTCATGCTGAGTGTCAATATTAATAAATATTATTTACTTTTTATCTTTCGAAACTGAATAAACATCAAGTGATAACTGAATAAAATTATTGGGTCTTAAAATAATTATGGAAGAAATTTTTTCTTACATGCTTGTATTAGATGGGCATTGCGTTCTTTGATAGTCATATCCGGAAATGGGCAATTTTAACACTAATTTAGGGGAAAATCTGTTTATCTATACAGGTGACAATAAGAACTAGCTTTGGAGAGTTATTCCTTTGTTATAAACATTTTACATAAACCATCCTGTGGTATAAAAGCTACCTGTACATGATTTGCTCTTAAAACTGAAAGCAATTAGAATTGAAAGTCTGGAAAAATTACACATATCCGAAGATAAATAGTAAACTGACAAATCACATTTCAGTGGTATTTTGAAAATTATATCATACGTGAAGCATTTTTTGGGAAAATCACAGCCTAAACTGCTCCTAAGATGTAAAAGTCTTCACCATGTACAAGACTTTTCTAGAAACTTAAGAATTAAGATTTTTTTCTGAACAGCCTTAAACTTAAACTTACTCTGGAAGATTAAATAATGCATATAGAGACATTTCTGAATTTAAAGGGACAGAGCAAATTTTTAAAATATTCCATTTCTATTAGAGTACCTTAAAAGAATTCAGAGTTTGGGATGGGCTTATCTTGTTCACCTACTAATTTTTCAGAAGAGGAAATGGAGATCAAGGTAGGGTTAATGACTCTTGACATCTGTCAGTCCAACTGATAATAATGGGAGACGGAATAGCCAGGTCTAAACTTCAGTCTTTCAACACCAAGGATAACACTATTTGATTATTTGTTTGTAGGAAGGGGTTGTTCCTGTTTTCTGTGTGGGCAAGGAGCATGTAGTTATTATGAACTTCAGTTTTGGACATGAACTCCCGTTGTTTCATTTTTAGAAATATGCATTACTACATAACTGATCATATTTTAACACATACAATCTGGCAACTTCGTAACTACATTGTTAAAGTTGAAAGAGACACACATAAATTAACTCAGATGTTAACTCATAAAAGACACTATTTCAATTTTGAGCATTTAAAACCCTCCTCCTAACCCTTTCTCTGGTAGCTAAGCGCTATTAAATCCTTCAATCCCTTCACTCATTATCAAGAATCACACTTAGCTGAAGCAGGTAGCACAATTCAGTCTATGGCAAACATTTCAAAGAATCTTTACTTCCAAGGCAAGTCTGTATCACCCAGTATATAAACCCTAGAACATCACAATTCTTTGCACACAAATATTGAAAGTGACAAGTGGCATCTTGGCATCTAAAAGGGCTGTGGCTACAGAAATAGAACACATTTGCTAAAAGCTGGGGGTTGAGATCAAAGAATGAACCAAAATAGGCCACTGTCTGGGCCCACCTGGTAAGATCTAGCAGATCACTAAGCTATCATGATACTAAGACAGCATAGAGATTCTGCAGAAACAGTGAATGACAAATAACTTCTTTGCTCCTCCTCGAAATTAATGGCAACAATATTGATCTTCTGTAGACCCAAGTGGATCAGTGATCAATTTTTACAATATTTCTGCTTCAGATATTTAAGAAGTAAAAACAATCTGCCTATTAGAAAGCAAGGGACTTTAAACTTGAGTGATAGAATGATGGAGGGTCTGTATTTGACTGGATGTTATATATGCCCACTGAAAGACACAGGGCCTAATCTGCCTAATCTCTATGAAATGGTGTAAATAAAGGACCTTTAAACCACATATTCTCTCTTATTATAGACTCCTCTTTATGGTGTTTTTCCATCTTGAATTTCCAAGGAGAGCATCCTCTTAAGAGGAAGCTTTGTTCCAAGTAGCTGAATTTAATGACAGCTGTCTTCGTGATGTTGTTTTGTATATTAAGGAGTCTCTTGGGAGTTATCTAGAAACCAGCCCAAGAAAAGACAATATTGAGGAACAAAATAAAAGGTAAGTCTAGCAAAACACCAATGCCTAATGGTTCCAATTGGGGCCCTATTATTGGTTAATGAATCATTGTCAAAACCTCACAGCAAGCATAAGCGTGCAGTCTAGTCTATAGTGAGAAAATGACTCTTCATCCCAACAGTTATTAGCTGGGAGTTGTTTGAAAACACATCCAGTAATTATAACAACACTGGAGCTAATTGAGAACTTTCAGTTGATAGCAAATGGTCTACAATAGCAAACTCGGAGGCGGGGGGGTGTGTGTGTTCATAAACAGCACAAAATCAATAGATTTGGGGTCATAGTCTGAAGATATCAGGACACATTTAGCGACTTATTTCCAAAATATTCTTGAAAACTAGATTACCATCATATTCAAAGTAGCACTTGAAAATATAAAATTCTTAAGGAAAAAAAAAATCAAAGTTACTCCTCTAAATATGCCTTAAGATAACTTTATTAGAACAAGAATAAATCCTGAATAATACATATTTCATCCAACTCTCAAGTATTCATGGGATGATGACAGGACTTCTCTTCCCTAACTCTAAGTGTGTTTTCATAATTTCTATTCCTAATGTAAACAGAGACAAAAAGATACACAAATACTCCATTTACTTCTTTGTTTTCCCAGTGAGGGAAGGGTTTTAAACAAGTAAAATTGTTAATTATTGTGGATTTTGTTTTTCCAGAGTGTCTCACTCCCCCTTTATCTCTGACTCTAAGGAGTTGTCTATATTGTCAGACAAAATTTCTATACTATAAAGACAACATAAAGGAGAAATATGTATTATAATAATTTTATTTAGATATTCCATTCTTTAAAATACGTTGAAGTAGGTTCCAGAGTAGCTAAAATCTAATATTCAAAATCAAATTCAAAAAAATTTTTTGTTCCCTTGGGGTGCCTGTCTGGCTCAGTCAGTAAGTAGAGCATGCAACTCTCAATCTTGGGGTCATGAGTTCAAGCCCCACATTGGGCCTAGAGCTTACTTAAAAATATAGATCCAAAATGGTTCCCTCACCCCACTGCCTCCAGACTAAGTACAATACTTGTTCCTGCTCTTCCTCTAGCTTTGTTGAGCAAAACCACACATCTTTTCACAAAGGTGCTGAGAAAACATAACACCTCCATTTTCTAGGCAAACACCTGGTCAATGGAAAGCAAAAGCTTTTTAGATGGCAGTTTTCGGGGCGCCTGGGTGGCTCAGTTGGTTGAGCGACTGCCTTCGGCTCAGGTCATGATCCTGGAGTCCTTGGATCGAGTCCCGCATCAGGCTCCCTGCTCAGCAGGGAGTCTGCTTCTCCCTCTGACCCTCCCCCCTCTCATGTGCTCGCTCTCTCTCAAATAAATAAATAAAATCTTTAAAAAAAAAAAAAGATGGCAGTTTTCATTCATTAATTTTATTCCCCAGTCTTAAAAATTCCATTCTTCATGTTCAGTTACTTAAGTTTTAGCTCAGTGAAATAACTGGAATGTTGGGGCATTCCCAACATGTTGTGGAAACACCACATCGCAAGATGAAGATGCAAAATAAATAGATTTTTCAGTTGTCTCTAACCCTCAATACAGGGAGGGCTTCTTTGGGTAACATGAGGGGAGGAAAAAAGAATTTGGTTGGCAGGACGAATCTCCCTCACTACCTCTCCACTGCCTTTTCATTTTCCCTGGCAAACCTGAGCAACATAAGTAATTAATTTTCAATAAAGTGAGAAAACGGTCTTCCACTCTTAAATAACTCTAATAGGTTGAGAGGATTACAATGATATGAACATTTCAGGCAAATATATTTAGTGAAGCCTTGGAGATACGGATGATTTCATAAATATCTTTTACTGAGTTGACAGTTCGTCCCTGAGACCAGCCCCAATACTGGGACTGCTAGACTGGCTTCTCAAGGTACCACACTTTAGCAAGAGATATTTAAATAGTAGATATCCATATGATACAAATTTAACAGTGGGGAAAATAATCTTCAGATATTTAAAATCCAAAAAGTGTGATCAGTTATTCCTTCAGAAGCTGTCTACATAGAAGGAAGTAGATAACAATATCCATATATATTCCCTAATATGTATATTATTGAATAAAATCAATATAGCTCTCTGTAGAGAACATAGCTAAATAATTTGGGCCCCAAACGTACTCTTTCCTCTGTGGCAAATGGGTCTCCCAAATTAATCTTACACTTTCTTTTTTTGCCATCCAGACAACTACCAAAGTCACGGTCATGAAGCCTGGGTGGCCTTACCCCGTATTTCCAACCCATCACCTGGCAGGGAGGTCTTTCCCAGTACCTTGCCTCCACACAATGGGGACACTGAAGCAGTGCTGATGAGGTCCCCAAATTTGTTGTCTCTACTTAAAATTGATAATCTCCAATCACACAAACCTCAAGCACCTATTTTTAATGAATCCTTTAGATGAATATCAAAGAACTATTTAGCCATGTCTAATATTTTAATTAGATTATATTCTCAATTTAACCCATTAAACCTCCTTTGATGATCCCCATATTTAGTGTTTAGCCTCAGATGCACAAGGTAATGAATACTGGACCTTTTGATTTAATGAGAATTTCAGCTCTTCCAGCCTGCGCCTCTTTGTATACCTT